CATTGAAATATGCTTTGTTCAAGAATTTTGTCAAAAATAGACGCTGGATGGTATATTATCAGCAACACAAGCTTTAGTATTATTAGTGATGAATTAAGTCATTTCAACAGCAATGACATATTGAAATATTCTTAGCCCAGTCATCGCTTCACAAAGGAAGACTGGTAGAAATGTATCCCGGGTGTCCCAAAAAACTTGTGCTGTTTGATTTAATGTAACATAAAAACTACAAAAGCTATTACACTCAAATAGGTTTTATTGTATTTCTAAAGGGCTAACTTAGATTTTGATATGTAACATTTGAATAACCCCCCCCCCCCTGTATACGAGTTCCCCCTGTCTATATGCCCAACAAAAGCTCTTATAAATGAATATGATAATAATAATAAATAATAATAATAATATATAATTCGTTCATTTTCGTGTCTAACCCCCTGCTCCTGGAGAGACATTACAAATTTTACAATTGTATGTGATACAGATATTACATTACTGCTATCAATATAAACTATGAATCTGAAAATCCTCGGGTTTGGAAATCAATCTGTTTGAAATGTAACACTGCTCATAGTCTTGCTACTCCACTCTCTTGTTGTTCCTGATATAGCTGTATTTATTCTCATAAATAAAGTTATGTTATTGTATATTTATATAGTATTTGTAAAATAGAGTATAAAGTTATATTATTGTATATTTATATAGTATTTGTAAAATAGAGCCCACCATAATTGTTTTTTATACTGTTGTGGTAACACATGATATCATAAATTCATAACATATCTCAACTAAATTCATAACATATTTTTTGGGCACCCATTTATAGAAAATCATGAATAGAAACAAAAATCTTAAATCATGCCTACTAATAACTTCAAATTCCTATTAGTATCATACAGTATATGACAGAAACTCTATTTTTTCCTATATTACAAAATTAAGTATGTTTTTGTCATTGAGAAATGATTGATAAATAATGCAGAAAATATTTAATGCTTGTATATTTTCTTTGTCGTGAATACTTCATTGTGCGCAGAATGATGTCAAGGCATAAAAAATACCTGTGGTTCCAGTTTCAGATCGTGAAAAAATTAGGGTTGGAACTAAAATTTTTTTGGAATATTTTTTTCACGGTTTTGGTAGTTTTTTGCTGGGCGATTTGCAGCAGTAGAGTCCCAACATCAATATTAACTAGAGATACTGTACATATTTCCTATGGACAAACTTAGGCAATTTACAGTTCAATAATTAGTGTGATACTAGCAGCCCGTAACCATCTGGAGAAAATATGGTCGCACAGTCAATCTCGTTGAAAAAATAGTAGGGTCGGCAGAAAAAAATAGGGTCAGTCTGGAACCGGAACCACAGGTATTTTTTTACGCCTAACCAAAGATCACAAATGTTACAAGAAATTATATATTTATATCTAATAATACCAAAGAATTTTTACTTTGTGAAATATTATATTTTCCTGATGGACGACTTATAATGCATACTGCTGTGGGACAATGTTAATCTGTGCCAGGGGCAAAACTAGCCCCTTTTAATTAGGGGGGTGTCCGGCAGAATTGCTCTGCCAAAACCAATGATGCCCTGCCATGGGCGTACCGGAAATTTTTTCCGGAAAAATTATTTTGGCAACCTCCCCCCCCACCCCACCCCCGTCGCTAAAAAAATTTCGGTCTGTGTACCATTTTAGGGGTCAAAAAAATTTTCCGGACAACCTATATTTTTCGGAACATAACACAAATTTTCGAAAAATCACACAATTTGCGAAAAAATTGACTTAATTTTAGATAAAATTGACTGAATTTGTCCCATTTTTTTTTTTAAAACCAAAATTGCCCGACTGTTGATCGAATATTGCCCCCGCCCGGTACGCCTATGTGCTATCATTTATTTATAAGAGACCTTTGATTGCCCTGCCAATCGGGATGATTCGTATTTTGGGGGGGTGCAACTCCCCCCCATACCCCCCTCAAGTTTCGCCCCTGATCTGTGCACAGCAAGTGTGTTCTCTGCATAGTAAGCATGACAAGAATGCCCTACTGTAAATACAACTTACTTCAAAACCCCCTGTCTGTACATATTAGAATGCTGCTTTGCCTGCTTGCCTCAGCCTCACTTGTCACACACCAATTATAAATTTTACAACCATATACTGCAGGGTTCGAATTAATTCTGAAAAAATGGTTCGTGAATTAATTTTTTTATTTTAAGGAAATTTTAAGGAATTCTCAAGGAAATTTCTCTAATTGAAAGTTAAAAAGTGGAAGCAGTGCAATTTTCAAATATATAATATACATCGCAAACTCATAAAAGAAATAGAATTTTGGGTGGAATTATAATCGTTTTTAAGTACAATCTAACAACAATATCTTCAGAATATATGATCCTTCATCACATTTACAAAGAACTGAATTTATTATTGTATATTTTTATCAATTTGAGAGACGTTTGATTTGTGATTTTGATCAATTTCTATGAAATTGGGTTCGTGAAAAATGAAAATTGATTCGTGATTCACAAATCACGAACCGAACAGTTATTTCGAACCCTGTACTGTATTAGACATTATGTTGCAAATTAGTTGACTTGGGGATCCAATTTATAGAAATCATAAGTAAAAACAATCCTAAATCATGCCTACTAAAAACTTATTGAACCCAAACAACCCAACACAGAATGTAGTTGTATTAGATACATATACATTATAAAAACTCTATTATTTTCTACATCAAAAAATCTACAATCTATATATTATATGTTATGGTATTACATATAAACTAGTTGGGGCATTTATAGAAAATCATAAATGAAAATAAAATAAAAATCCTAAATCATGCCAAACTAAAACGCCCAAGTTAATTTGAGATTGACGGAAAACCACCTCAAAGCGATTTAAAAATGTACAGGTACATTTGAAGCCTGTTTCCTGATATATTTATGCCGCAATTTGTGCTTTTTCTAAACATGCATCATTTTTACAGATTAATTAATCAGTCTGTCATATTGTTAGATTGTTACACTCCGCAATATTGTTTCCACTTAATTGGGCAGCCTTACTTTGTTCTTATTTGCAGGAAACCCCCATTTTATCACTATTATAAATATCCACTAACCTTACAATATCATCCTTCTTTAATAATCGTACCAAGATATCCCTTGTGATATTGCACATTTGCCCAAGATATCCCTTGTGATATTACACATTTGCCCAGGATAACCACCAGGAAAATTGCACATAGTGTAGGTTTGCCAGCGACACACATTGTCATCCATTCATTACAATGCCCAATGTCTCCTTGCAACAACCAAGACAACCAGAAAAGAATGCATTGTGTTCCACATCATTTCACTAAAATGACAAATTTTGAAACAAATTTAGCTTTAAAATACCCTAAATACTTTATGCACTAATGTAACCGTTTAAAAATTTGTATATATATATAATAGACGCTTGTAAATAAATTCAATTGCTCTGAAGATGTTGTGAACAATACAACCGAACGTTAGCCAATAAATTTTATATTTTTGCTATGTCTTGTCTGAAAGTCAAATATTGCTGGGCTTTAATTTTCATTATTAATAAATTACACTCATCTCTCTACTAAATTGAACTAAATTTCATGAAACATCAATTTGAAGTGGAAGTCAAGTTTGTAAAGTAAACAAACGGTTTGTTTACATTTTGAACTGCTGTATTTTTTAAGATACGATGTACTGTCTGAATATCTGGCGCCGTTTTGGTTTGCTATGCTTTTAAATTAATATAAAATAGAGTTTATGTTCAGAAAAATTCGATACATTCGAAATTTGGGCAATGTTCACTTTAGAGGGTCCTCACATTGTTATGAGCAGAACCGATGAACAGAACAGACTTGACTTCCACTTTAAGGTAAAATTGAATATTTTATCCCAGAACAAACATAAATGCACACAGCAAAATATAGAACTGCAACACACCCTAAATTTGAATATAATTCAGGGGGACCACTATCGGAAATAATTTTTTTAAATATCTTTTTAATTGTTTTTCAAGAATTAGTGTTTAGTGTGACAACAGACACCATTGATTGCGTGCCGCCTTTCAATTAGGATGTCACAGGTCAATTAATATCAACCAATCAGCGCAGACCGGAAATACACTTAAATATTGTAAACATAAACCGATAAACGTTGAACTCCATTTATATTGTATTCTTTCGTTAGTTTCGTATACAGACCGCAACTGGGGCATACTAAAAAGTTAAAACGGCATATATATATATATATATATATATATATATATATATATATATATATATATATATATATATATATATATATATATATATATATATATATCCAGTATAGTAATAATATAACTGCAATAAATATATATATCCAGTATAGTATATGATATACAATGGACATTGGACATAATTTAATATGTTTATAGTTCAAATTTTGCAACAAAAGGTGGATTACAGTATTAAACATGCATGTGATAATTATTGTAAACAAAGTGACGAGTAAATTACTGTACATTTTAACGCCGCATACTTAGGGACCATTCATTATTTATGACCGGGGGTGGGCTGGCAAAATTCAATTAACAACTAAACAAAATGTCCTGGCCCACCCCCTGCATCACAAAAAAATTCAATGACCCCCCTTCACATGAATTCTAAAAAATAGTAACCCCCCCCCCCAACGACAATATGATAAATGTACAGTACTGTATAGAAATGAGCTCTTTAAACTTGTTGTAGGGTACTTGACATCAATGAACTACAAAAACCGCTAAACAGCTAGTGACTCGAACATTTGACTTGGGCTCGGATTTGACACGGTAAACCGACAAACTCCTTACTAAATTAAATCATGTATAAAATACCTAGTATAAACTAGTCATATAGTATTTGCCAAACTTTCCCTTGACGTAATGTTGCTACATCGCTTACCGGTACTCATTAATTATTGTGACTGTCTTTTTTATTAAAATGTACATAATTGAAATATGACAAAAAATTATGGAAAGTTCATGGCAAGTTATAAGGTAGATGTTCGATTATTTTTCATATTAGGTGCACACATTGCATTTTGGGTATTTGTGTGTTGCATTTAGGTGGCGAATAATTAAATCGGTTTAATTTAACGAAATAGTACGTCATTTTCGAAAATAACCAGGCTATAAATTAGACAAGGTTGATGAAAAGTAACTTTGTTTGAAAGCTCAGAGATGAGTGGAGGAAGGAAAGTAGAATCGATATTTCAAGTACAAAACAAAATAACCGGCGGTGAATCTTGTGCCACCCGCCGGAGCTCCAGCGGCAGCCAGGTTATTTTGAAAGCTCTGTATATACAAACAAAAACTGCAAAACTTTTATATAAATAAAGCGTGTCAATTTTCGACTCATTCTCAACATGCAAGATACGCTGTTACAGCGAGTTAGTTTTTGGTGGCCATGCATGCAAAAGTGGGCCGCTTATTTTGCTTACGAGTTACGTGGACGTATAATTATTGCTGTTACATAAACGTTCCGGTGTTCAAGAGCTACATATAGCCGAAAAAAATTGCGTGCTCATTATAATCGCCGATCACATAACTTTATCACAGTCTCAAACCTTCAGACAAACATATCCACATTCCTCTAGTTTTTCCCTTTTTGGCTGCGATAACACGGCCAACACGGCCCTCTGGCTAAGACCCTGCATCCGAAGGGGGGTTAACTTCCTATTTCCTCTGTGGGGGTGGTATGGATGTTTTCTGGAATGACCCAATGTATTAAATAATTTCTAGGCCAGCAAGCGATATAAAATCTGTCTCGTTTAGCGGGCCAGTCTGGCTTCCATATAAACAGCCCCGTAGACCAGTGTGCATTCCATGCACTCCACACCAGATATATCCAGCATGAGGTTACAAAATTGTTGGCGTAATGGCGTGAGATCACTCAAAAACAAGTGATTAGTTTGTGCCTGATTTCATGAATCACCACATTAGATGTTTTCAAAACATGGATTTAAGCCCCCAAAACTGAAAATCTCCGATGTATTGGCGTAAAGGATCGTATATGTTGGCGTATGTCTGGCGTACAGTTTACATGGAATGCACCCTGGCCAGTAGTGTTGGGGATTACCTCCAAGTATCGCCCAAAATAAATCACAACAAATCACAGTATAATATCTATTACAAAATCACCAATTTCACAGTTTTACAGCCACATGTTTTTAAGTTCTCTTCTCGAAAAAACAACAACCACCGGTATAATCCGGAACCTTCCGAAGCGTTTAAAGTTTGGACTCGCGCGTCCCACACGTGAACAAAAATACTAATTCTAAATTACGACAGTAGAAATTTTTCTTATGCACATATCAACGGCCTGCCCTGGGGGTACACCCACAGGACTTTGAAAAAACATGATTCTAATGCATTAATTCCCCTTGGGGCTTAGAATAAAGTTGTTCATAATATAAATAGCATACAAACAACTAAAAATTATCATACAAACTGGGGTATCACAATGGCACTCATGTTTTCTGTATTTATTTATTCAAATTTTAGCAAGACCACTACAAAATATAATAAGTTTACGATCGATACTTTTCTCCGTGAGCCTGCGATTTTGAGTTCGCATCAATTGTGCAGTTCATTTATAAAATTCAAATTGTCACGTCAAAGTCCCCTACTTCCCCTCCCCCCGTCGTCCTATTATTGCGAAGTTTGTAATTTCCCCGGGGTTCACGGGCAGAATACACGGATAAAATACCAAATTCCCCCCCCCCCCGATTGTCCCGGGGTGTACCCCCCGGGCAGGCCGTTGATATGTGCATTAAAATATTTTAAAATTTCCCCCCAACCTTTTTAACTCTCAAATAGTTCATTACACATTTATTGGTTAGGGTTAGAGAAGGGGTTGGGCTCTGTTTATCCATACCTTATCTTATTCCGACTACAGTACAAATTTCAATATAGCAAATCAAACTCGGCGTACTGTTCCAGTACTTCGTATTAATATACAACTAAATGAACTAATTATTAAAAAGTAAACTGACCTTTAAACTGAAGAACTTGATTGGCTTGTATACATCGGTTCCTTTGTGATATAGTTCAATTGCTGTTGCTTTTAAATGTTTTATAAACCAGTAAAGCGAAGTAGCGAAATTTCGGGCCGTCTTTCACAACAAATAACATCACAATAACTGCACATCTTTTTCTCCTTAATACAGAATCGTTTTCCCTGTCCATTGAGTTATAATTTTCAAGACTAACGAGTCGCTAAAACGTAAAATAAGCGGGTATTTGTAAACAAAAATGCCCTTTGATATAACAGGAGGTACTCCAGCGCCATCTTGTCTTCTCCAAACATTACAGATTTTCCCGCCAAAACCCGCCCCCAAAGTCCCGTATGCGACTCGAGAGTAGCCTGCGTGGCAGGCGGTATTTCTACAGGCAGCGAAAATTAAGGTGTCAAAGGAAATACCACTGGGAAATACCTAGTACCGCCTGCCATGCAGGCTAACTCGAGAGGTGTTATTAAAGCCGAAAATCACAGCAAACATTGCATCCTTTAAGGGGCTGTTTGCAGGGCTGGCTCGCTTAAACGGGGCGCCCGGCTTCATAGTAATTTCCAACACAAAGCAATTTTACTTTACATGACAAACCTGGCCAGCCCGTTTAGCTGGGATCCCACTTGACTCAAACGGGGCGCCCAGTCAGCCGGGATGAAATTTCTCCATGTAAAGTATCCAGCCCGGGCAACCGGGCTAGAACAAAAACTTCATTTAAAACAAAAATAAAAGACAGAAACTGATATTTTTCTTGACAAAGTTTTATTTCTTCAATTTTATTTCTTCGATATAACCCGCTCCACTTCCCATGACGTCATTTTGGGGACTTGCCACTGAACTATATACAGTCATGTGGATTCTGGAGTCAGTGAGCTGGAATCCCAAATTCAATTTCCTACTCATCTATTTGTTTTATATAACAAAAAGAAAATCCCCGAATTAAACAGGTAAATAGCTTACTTTTTATCCGCACAAACATTTGGAAATTTTAAAAAATCTAAATTTTACAAATATCACGCGTACGTGATCTATACAAATAAGGGGGTGCATGCCATTGGATAAGGTTTTGTGTGACGTAATTCCGTGCCCCTGAGGCTGCTCCCAGGGACGCCGGAACGATCATAAGGCAAAGGGGGGCGGACCCACACCAAGGGCACCTCTCTAAAGCAAAACTTCAAAATCTTCCGAATTTTTTTTTTTTAACTCCAAAAATTTCGGCGACCCCCCCCCCTCCCCGCCAAAAAAATTTCGGTCAGTGTACCATTTTAGGGGTCAAAAAATTTTTCCGGACATACCAGAATTCAAATATAAACTATAAATTGTCTGAATTTCATGATTTTCGTACAAAAAACATCGTTGTAAATGTGATTTATCACGTATTTTTTTATAACTAAAAGGGCACTTCTGCCCCCTGCCCCCCTAGCAAAAGGCAAGGGGGCAGCCGCCTGCCCCGGTTCCGGCATTCTGGCTGCTCCGTTTTTGCTGTTCGGGTGCTCCGGTTGCAGACTTACTGATTGAGGTCGAACCGAAAACGGTCGCATTGACTGTTCTGACTGCCTCTACTCAAAAGTAGGGGCAGCCAGGAAAGTCATGTGACCGTCGGAACAGTCATGTGACTATTATTGGTTCGATTTAATTAGTGTTTCGAAAATCTGGAGTACTCCGAACAGTAAATGGAACAGCCTCCCTGTCCTCGAATAGATCATGGCTCTCGACCAATGAAAGTGCTTGAATTCTTAACGTTGTTATAAAAAAAAGTGATAAAAGGTATCGATCATTACTGAAGTCTGTAAACAAGTTGGTTACAAATCTGTTCACAAGCTGTCGACAAGTTGTGTTCGCACTGCTTGTTCCCAGTTGTTGTAACAAGTTTGGAACAAGCTGTTAACAAATTGTAACAAGCTTGATGGCATTATATCAGACTTGTTACAAGGTTGTTCTAACAAGTCTGATACAGTCATGATATAAGAATGTTGCAAGGTTGATCACACAAGGTTGTAACAATATTGTTATATCACGACTGTATTGGACTTGTTGGAACAAACTTGCAGAACAAGTCTGATAGTATCATCAAGCTTGTTACAAGTTGTTAACAGCTTGTTCCAAACTTGTTGACAACTTGGGACAAGCAGTGCGAATTACACAACTTGTGGCAGACTTGCTACAAGATGTGAGAGTTTTAAACGTGTAGCTTATATAGGTACTGTTGGTAGGTACTATACCGTTAAACACTTTGATAGGGACTGTTTAACTTAGCTAACAGCAGTACGAACTTTGTAAGTTCTTTATATACGCCGAGAACACGCCATTTGGAGCTTATGGGATTTGCGCTGAATTGCGCAGAATATGCTGAACCATACCAAATAACAAATCACTACCTTTATTTTTCACATCATAAATTCATTCATAATATTTACAATGTAATATATTTTAATAACAATTCTAACTATTTTCATACGCTAATATGATATATACAAACATTCTAGACAACCAATGTAGTTTTGCCAATATATATTAATATAAATAATCACTATATAACTAAAGTTTGATATATTATTCGACTATAATTCTATATTGCTATTTCAAAAAGTCTACAAATTCAATTTATTTTCTAGCCCTAGAAAAGGACTTAGCTCTGTGCACTCGACATATGGAAGACAATGTGTTCAAATCGCTGGCATTGACCACGACGATATTATTGTTTTTTAACCCGATCAAAATCGACGTTAAGACCAAACAGTTCTCGGCTAAGGTTGTATGATAGTTTTCAGAATACACGAGGGAACTTTCTGTCGAATACACCGCGTTCAAATAATCCCCAATGTCTGCCAATTGTCTCGCGTATTGTTTCACGGTTTTCGATTCATTTTCGCAACTCTTTACAACATCTTTACTCGCTTTATGCGAAATACCGTTTCGGTGGACCAGTTCGTCGCCGATTCTCGCCAAACGCGAACCGATTTTTTGAATAAGATTCTTTCTGGTAGCTTTTGGTTTGATGTTCAGTTTATAAAAAGCTGGCAAGGAAGCGCGACGTTTTTCGTTGGGCCTGCGTCCTTTGAACGAAGTGGTCCTACGACGATAGCGAACGCCATTTTCTGCTTCGTTCTCATGGGTTGAAATGAGTATTCTCTCAGGGGCGTCTGGGTCGACTCTGAGCCATACATCTTGTCTCTTCGCACCGCGGGAGCCCTTTTTCATGTTTGTGAGTTCTAAAAAAATCAGTGAAGGTGAAAATTTTAGAACGAGTTTGAAAATAAACTACTCAACAAATAGATATGAAATATTTTGGGTTTACACGAGTGCTACTTTAATGGATGCATGATTCTTGCTATATATAGACTACATTTTGATCTAGGCAAGAAGAATACTACATTTTCCCGTGCGTAATACAAAATACAAATTAATACAAAATTTGCAAATTTCGTGGGGCTATATTCTCTCCGCATTTTAACATTTCGCCGCCAAATTTTGCAATTTTACTAATTTTAACATGCTCTTTCTAGCTGTGGTGATGGATTTTGTTCTTCTTGCCTAGATCAAAATTTAGTCATAGCTGGAATCATGATTTGTAACTCAAATGTAACTAACTCACGTAAAATCTGCCGGCATTATTGGCTTAAAAGGAATGAAGATATTTCGTCATTGAAATGGCGTCAGCCGTCAGTCTGTCCTGTATATTATGGGTATCGACCAATGAAAAGGCAGATTGAATTCGTATTATCAAAATTAATTATATGTGGGAGTAGTAAACGCCTCTTCATATAATGCGAATTATGCAAATCGCACATAATTGCTTTTAATTTGTGTGCGTTGCTAACGCAACGAGTACAACATAGGAACTCAATCAGTCTTTCATTGTTTGGAAAACATTAATTTCACTTCATATAATATTAATCCTATCTCAGCTCAGCGTCTAAACGATACTCGATATATATCCATGGCTCATTTGAAATACATTTTTAAACATAGATAAATCACAATGAATGTCTCATACTACACGATGTAGAATATATTCCCAAAGCGCGAGACTATAGTTCACTAAATTTATTGAATTTCTGCTTGATTTCACTGAGAAAATGAATCATAGTTCGTCCGATAATTCGGGCTGTGTTTTGTAAACTATAAACGTCAGAGACTACGATTAATTTGCGTGTAGCATTACAGTATCTTTGAAATTTGAGACGTGATTAAATTTGTTAATTGTTCCCAAACCTATGACCAGAATAGATCGCATTATCAGTAGCTACTGGCTAATAATCTGTCAGACGAACGTTTTGAAGATCTGTTTAATATGCGTATAAAACAGCATTAAACCGCGCTATTCTGGCCATTTGGTCTGGTTAGCCAGCTTTGTGGTCACATAATGATGTTCTTTTATTAAAAGGACGACGCATCTCAGCCCAAATCGCATCCTGTATGCCCCACATCCAGGCTACACTATATAATCCATTTAAAAAACTCACGATTCATCCATCTAATATGATTTAAATAAACCTACCTTGTTTAATATAGATACACAATCAGCCAACTTCAATGAAATTCAATTTCCAAACAGTGAACTGTTACCCGACAACTTGTCTCAAGATATAATAACACAACCGACTACATTTGTGCCTTTTATACCCAAAGATTGCATGACCACGATTCCGAGTTTTTCGGCGTTAATTACCGAGAAAAACACGTTCTTTTAACGAATATTTGTTCCAATTGCAAACGCAGGCTTCCTATTGGCCAATGTTGATTGCGCGATACAAGCTTTTTCGGCGAATTCGGAATGCCGAACACGCAATCTTAGTACGTACACGGAAGTCGAAAGCGAAGTTTCGTTTCAATAATTATCGTGAATCAGCGCTTTTTGTGGGGGATTTTTTTGTCGACTCCATTATAAACCATTACAAAATGAGGTCACAGGATTTGCTGAAAGTTCTTAAAAGCAAAATTTCGTATTCGCATGTTTTGACAGCCACCGGCACGTTGCGTGTTTGACAAGCGAGCAATCTCGACCCTATTAATGCCATATATTACCCCCAACAGCTGCAAATTTACAACCCCCGCATGCAAATAAGCAAAAAATATTTAAGTAAATATTAAGGCTTTTTTCTAGATGGGAAATTTAAGAAAAACTATATACATTCACTGCGTTTTAAGAGCGAGTTTATAGAAAGAATAGCATATAGTTTTTCGCTTGAAATTTTAGCCCGCAAGAAATGTTTTAACATCGTACCTGTTCTTCGTGCGAAAGGCCCAAAATATAGAATTTGAAATATATTGCGCTTATTGTCGAGCATAGGGCAATTACAACATACGGGAAACTATGATGTCATTGTTATTTATGGCCACGGGGATTTTCCGTATAAAAGACGATGTGGAACTGATGTCGTTGGCATTTCTGATGGGAGTCAGTCACAAGACACAAAGTATGCTAACTCATCGATTATTTGAATCATTAATATTCAAAGTCTATTCTCGTTCGTAATTGGTCAAAACGCGTAAGGGTATTCTCGGTATCTTGAAGCCGTCGGGTTATTTCAATAAAAAATAAAAAGGGTTCGCAACGTTAAATGTTCAAGAAGTTTCCAAGTTACTGATCGAAAAAAAACAGCGAAAATAGAAAGAGGTCAACAAAAAGTTTGCAAGACACTACTTTTTACGAGAATCTAGCTTAAACAATAACAAAGAAATTATCAGGGACGCCGGAACAATGTGAAGGCAAGGGGGGGGGGGCAGATTTTCGTGAAAGGGCACCTTTGAATTGATATACCGTATACTAAGAGATGTTTGCAAAACATCGGGAGTTGAACTTCGCCTAATCATGTTTTCTATTTATTGGATGATAGGGGTGTGAGGGGGTTCTCCGCCAGGCGATTGTGCTATTCTTGAAGCTCGATGACTGCATTTCTTGCATTTTCTGAAGCAAATTCGTAAAAGAATCGCACTAACATTTCTGACAATTCGCTATTTCGCCAAGGCAATCCTTTAAATTGAAAGGGCACCTTTGCCCCCCCTTGCCCCTCCTGGTAAAGGGCAATGGGGGCGGCTGCCCCTCCTGCCCCCCCCCAGTTCCGGCGTCCCTGGAAATTATCCTCAAGACGCCATTGAATTGGCAGGAATTTGGAAATTTTTGAAATTCTCGCTTTCTTTCAATCTTTTGAGTATATAATAAAACAATTATTGCCATTCGGTTTTCGTATGATATCGAGAATCATAGGCGTACCGGGCGGGGGGGCGGTAACCCCCCCAGTTTTTTGGGCAATCGGGCAATATTCGATCAACAGTCGGGCAATTTTGGTTTGCAATTAAAAAAAAATGGGACAAATTCTGTAAATTTTGTCTAAAATTAAGTCAATTTTTTGGCAAATTTTGTTATTTTTCGAAAATTTGTGTTATGCTCCGAAAAAATTGGTATGTCCGGAAAATTTTTTTGACCCCTAAAATGGTACACTGACCGAAATTTTTTTGGCGAGGGGGGGGGGGATTTTCCGGAAAAAATTTTTTGGTACAAGTCGGGCAGAATCCCGAAAAGTCGGGCAATTTTCTTTTCGCCCCCCCTAATTTTTTCCTTCCGGTACGCCCATGTCGAGAATTATCAAGGACCCATGCAGTTTGTGTTATTCACCTCAGCCTTCGGTAGATAACACAAACCTCGGTCTTGATAATTCTCAATATCATACTCAGGGCCATAGCAAAGGGGACAGAGAAGGGGGGGTATAGTATCGTAGTATCGTATTTGCCGACAACATTTCAGTCGCTAATTAATATTTTTCCCTATAGTTTTTGGCAAACGGAGGGGGTCCCCCAAATTTTTTTCCGGACATACAAAATTTTTCAGGACATATCGTAATTTGTTAACTTTTCCCGTAATATTATTATTAGCAAAATGTTTGCTATAACTTTTTATTCCGAGCCACTCAAATATTTTCGCTGACTACTGGAAAACAATTTGCCGATAAATCCGAAAACAATTTACCGAGTCTAGCAGAGATTTGACGAGTCCGTAATGAATTGGGGGTGTTACACCCCTACACCCCCTGTAGCTCCGCCCCTGATCATACTCAACTTCATTCAATAAGGGACGGACCATTAGAAAAGTGATGGGGGGAGGGGGGGGGGGGGCAAAACCAAAAAAAATTATTCCCAGAAAAAATTAGGAAAAAAAATCTTCCCAGGCATAGTGCAAAAAAAAATCCTAGCTTGGAAGATAGGCCTATAAATTTCACTTAAAAAAAAATTTCCAGTCATCAAGTGAGAAAAAAATTCTTCTATAGGTGTACAAAAAAACTATATTGCCTCTTACAAAATCCCCCCCCCCCCCATCACTTTTCTAATGGTCCTTCCCTAATTGTTCATTATCGAATCATTGATGTAATCGTTCTGAGCGCTTGGTTCTCAGTGTTGATCTCAGTGCAATGACTATAACTGGAATGCTGTGTGTCTGGGGGTCAAGACCCGAGTGTCTATATGCCCCGAGATACACCCCTTTCGATAATTATGTCACACATACCTTTTGGTCTTGGAGCCTCGCTCTCATTAGTGAATTACGCTAGGTGGTTGGCTCACGATTCATGGCGAGGCTCCTAGGCCAAATTACGTAATTATTAAGTATTCTCTGGCGTAAACAATTATTAGAAAAAAATAAGAAAAAAACGAAAAGTGAAGTCAAATGCATTCATAGAAAGCTTTGAGCTCACAGAAGTAGCGTAGAAAGATATTTAATGTTTGGAGGGATGAAAACCAGCTAAGAAGGTTTACGGAAGAAATTTGAGGCTCGGAAATATAATTTCTTGCACTTTCTGACGCCGAATTTGGACGGCCAAAAAATTCTGCAAAAAACTGCTTCGTAGTTGGTTTAATTTTGGTCAGCCGAGTTTGTACGACTTGGTGCGATCCAAAATCGCGGGGAATTAGCATAGTCAAAATATCTGGCAATGGAGGAAGCTCACGCTTTTCAACCAAGACATATACGACTTATCCATTTTTATGGCGGCCTAGCCTTTTTCAGCTGGCCTTAAATTCACTTAAGGAATATTTCATTGAGCACGATGTTGGTAATTTTGTTCAATTTGCCTTTTAAGCCTAGGTTTCCATAGTCACGATCTTTCTCAACGGCCAGTTTATAATAGTTTATACCTGTAAACCACATATAAATCATAAGTATTCTCTTGTTCTAATCACTCCGCGTATTTTCAGTTCTAGAATGTTGTATTTCGGCTGATGAGAAAGATCGTGACTCAATCTTTACGACCGTTACGACCATATGGAAACCAGGCTTCAGGCAGCGATCAAGAATCCTCTCATATTACTGTTTTACTGTGATCGTTTTTGGGTGGAGGTTAGCCCCCCCCCCCCACTTTTACCTCTGGGCCCCCTACACACGCGTTTGTTACAAAATGCACAAGTTGTAACAAACCTGCAGCAGACTTGTAGCAATGCTGTTCCAACATCTTGTCAACAGGATGTGTTCGCACTGCTTGTTCCCAGCTTGTTGACAAGTTGTCAACGGCTTGTTCACAACTGGCTACAAGGTTGTTGAGCTCAACAGACTTGTCACAAGTTGTTCTGAACAAACTTGTTATCGTCCTGCAGTTCAACAATTTGTCAACATGTTGTGAGTGACAACCTTGTACCATGTTGGTGAAATAACAGCATTGTTACAACTTGTTCGCAAGCTTACTGCAAGGTTGTTGAGCTCAACAGACTTGTTACAAGTTGTTCCGAAAAAAAGTTGTTATCGTCCTGCAATTCAACAATTTGTCAACACGTTGCGAGTGACAACCTTGTAGCAACTTGATAAAATATCAGCATTGTTACAACTTATTACTTATTGACAATTAAGCTTGCTACAAGCCTCTTGCGAACATATCTTGTTGACAAGTTGTGAGATTTTTACGTGTGTGCAGTCAAACCCAAGCATGCAAGCCATCGAAAGTTGTAAATTGGCTGCATGCAACGTTAGCTAATTTTGTAAGCACCTCTTGTGGCGCGCCATTTTGTTTAGTCTACCTGATGTGGATTGCAGCTCGCGACCTGCCTCTTGCATCAGCACACTTCATTTTAACAGCTGGAGAAAATTAGCTTTCTCTTCGAAAATAAATTAATGTGTTCATCATCGCAATGCTGGAAGCGGCCTGCAACGGCGCGCGTTCATAATCTTCGCTCAATTTTTCTCAATTTAACTACGACGAGAGTCTTACCCTTGCGACTCTGATCTATTTAAATTAACCTATAACTCAATACACCATTTGCATTATAGCCTGACTAAATTTTGATATAGACAAGTCTAGACAAAAATTTCATCACAGGTTGAAAAAGCATCACAAAATTAGTAATATTCCGAAGTTTCGTTGCGAAATGTTGTAAAATGCGGATAATATAGCCTTGCGAATTTTGCAATTTTCAGTCATTTTGTATTACAAACGGGAAATTGATGCCCCAACACCCGATTGGGCTGGCAATTTCCCGTGCGTAATACAAAATGACTGAAAAATGGCAAACTTCGCAAGGCTATATTATCCGCATTTTACAACATTTCGCAACGAAACTTTGGCATATTACTAATTCTGTGATGCTCTTTCAACCTGTGATGAAATTTTTGTCTAGATCAAAATTTAGCCCATAACGCAAATGGTCCATTCCCAAGACCGAATTTACACGAGGCTAGTTTTCCTGCACTATTTAGGGAGCGGTCATTATGCATGGCGGGGGAGGGGGGGACCGAAGGGAAAAGGGTTGGGTAAACAAAATTTTGAGTGAGTAAATGAAAAACAAAACAACTCAGCTGAATATCAACAGTCATATCTCAATACGATATGTAAATCAATCAGAGTCACTGTCTTCGATCATTTCCCATTTTGTCAGCAGGCAAATGGTGTCTCCAAAGGGATATAGATTCATATCTCGCTAATAGGGTTAGCGGTTAGGGTTAGCATTATAAATAGCGAGACATGAATCTATAACCCTCCAAAGAAAGTACATGTGCAGACAACATCAAACTTCCCACCGGGCACACGACGTTGTTTCAACGTTGAAATTTGGTAGAAAAAAGGTTGCGACGTCGACAACCTAATATCTACGTTGCTCTGACGTTGTTTTGCAAACATTGGTTCAACAGCAGCCAACAGACGTTGAATTAACGTTCATTCATGGTTAAATGTACGACGTCGATTTGTGAACCAATCTCAACGTTGTTTTAACGTGGATTCAACGTTGAATTATGGTTGACGAGATTGGCAACCTAATTTCAACGTTGTTTCAACGTCGAAACAGTAACGTCGATCCAATTTGCATAGTCAACCCTTTTTCAACGTCTATCCAACGTCTGGAAGGTCATTTCCAACGTTCATTCAACGTTGGATAAACGTCATTTTGCCCGCTGGGTTTAGACTGCAGAAAATTGCACAAGCAGTTATCAAACTCATGTCACAGAAGTGGTAAAGGACATGTGTGACAACGTTTTTGGCCAGGGGTGGTATTTGTGCTTTAAATTGAATATTTGAGTTTGGGTAAAAATCCTTTTTGACTTTTTAATTGTTGGTCATCAAAATTTTTACCAAGAAAACACAACATTTTAGAACTGAAAATATGCGGAGTGATTATAACTAGAGAATACTTATGATTTATACGTGGTTTACAGGTATATATAAACTATTATTAAAAACTCGAACTGACTGGACTAATTTCTAAGTAGTTTTATTTTCATGTACAATTTATGCAGTTTTAATATCCTCGTACGATCACAATGCATTCTAAACTCCCAGAGGTAATGACGTTTGGGTGTTTACAACAAAAGGATGATTTCTAAAGGTTCACTTTTCTTTTGAGACACCCTGGATAGCAATCATTTCAGACCAAAACCGAAATGTTTTTGAACAGCTTTGCTTATCTCGCGAACCAGCATGGGCTATTGGTAATTATTGTATATTTGGCCCCCATGCATGGCTTTTTTAGCCCCCCACTTCTTAATTAGCCTCCATGCAGACCAGTCGCGCTGAACGTCTTGACCCATGCATTGACCCCATCATTCATTAATGAAATCATTCTCAATATAAACTTGTGGCGAAATATCGGAACATCAACGTTCTTTATAACTACGTTCAATGATAGTGCTGTGTATATAAAGTTAAAATAATATGGCTAAGTACTAATGCTAGTCTTCCAGCCGCTCTTTGCGAAACAAAAGGAGTAAAGGCTCTTTTAATTTCCACTCATCCTAAAGACCAACTCGCTCGCAACAAGCCCGCTGCGAGGACTTGCATCTAATCAAAACAGACTGTAAAAAGAGGCTAAAAAGTAAAGACAAACGCCCTGTATTCTAAAAGCTTAATCACACTCAAAGAGAGGAGGTTCAATCTGAGCTTCCCTTGTGTGTCAGTGCTGTTTTTGAATAGCTGGAGGGTGAGTGGTCACATAGTAAGGTACGGGACTAACCCTCCAGCTATTCAAAAACAGCACTGGCACTCAAGGGAAGCTCAGATTGAACCTCCACTCTTTGAGTGCGAGCTTTTAGAATACAGGCGTAACTCCTTAACTCTTTGTCCATTTTTAGCCACTTTTCGTTTTGAAAAGGTAGCCAAAAATGGCTAAAAGTATCCAATATGAAGGAAGACAAACATCTCCACTGATAATAAAGCTGTGTATGTATAACGTCCAATCAATGATATAATATGGCTAAGTAATGGCATGGTCTCTTTCTGAGACTAAAGGTCGCAGCAAGCACGCTGTGCGTGCTTTGCATCTAATTAAAATAGACTGCATGTCGAGCACTGTGATTGAATTACGTATTCGCAGCGAGCTTGTTTTTGCGATCAGTAATAAGCTTGGTTTTCATATGGTTGGAATTGATGATTCCCATTATTTAATGTTTTCGTGGCACTTTGCATTGTGGTTATTTAACAATTATTCGCCGAAGGCGAGGTGATTATCGGTGAATAAAAACCGAGACGAAGTCGAGGTTTTTATTGACGATAATCACCGAGCCTGAGGTGAATAATTGTTTTAGTATAATTTCATAGGTGATTATTTGGAAACAAATTTTAAAATGCACATTTCTTCGTCATTTAATTGACAAAACGGCTTCGACCGCCATTTTGAAAATCGCTTAGGTGATTATCGCGTAATAATCACCTCAACGGCAACCAATCAGCGTGGAGAATTTTCAATAATCACCTATGTAATTATACTAAAGTGTTATAACTGATAAAGATAGCGGCCTCGAATGAAAATATTGGCTAGTTCCTCGGGCAGAGGAGAACTGATCACGTGATCGGCTAGTTGTGTTGTTTGTGGCGTCAGATATAACCCAATCCCTATCTCTAAGCCTAATCCTTAATCTAACCCCTACCCTAACCCTTATCCTAACCCTAACCTCAACACTAATCACTATAACTAACTGATGACGTAATCTGTGATGCAAATTCTTCTACCCGAGGAAGTACCCAAAAATGGCTTACGTTTTCGCGAATATTTTGCTGTTGGCTATCGCGCACCTGACTGTAGCTTTTTGTAAAAGTTCTTGCACGGATCAGGGACAAAAAATAAGCCATCTTGAATATCAGTAATACCACTATAATCACAATGCAAAACGCTGCAAAAACGTGGTAAGGGAAATCTAGTATTGTCGCGAACGTGTTGTAAGTGTCGTCAGAGCAATGTTGGCGACCAAATGAAAACATGAAGAAAAGTCTTGTTGCGACACGCTGGCAACAGTTCACGACAGTTACAGCAGTTTCGTCAAGATAGGATCCAGTTCTATCTCGACAGTTACGACAGGCTAAAAACGTGCCGTGACGGTTATGTTTTAATGGAAACAGAAAAACAACAGCGTGGCAACAGTTTTGCAACAATCAGGGGGGCAAAGGTCCCCTTGGAGGGAGGGGGTTGTCTTTTTAAAACTGCCGCCAGCTGCTTGTACGACCCTGGGAACGAAATTAACTTGCGACAGTTGCAACCATATCATTCTTGTCCCCAGAGCCATTTTCACTCGGTCACTCGTTGAAAATTAGGCTCTGGGTTAGACGACCAAAGGCAGAGATCTGATTGGCTTCTCGCAAAGTTGAGCAATTGTCGCTAGGAAAATTTTTCTATCAAAACATGTCAACACAGATACTTCGTTCCTTCGCAATATATTTGTCTGTGAAAATTGTTACGGGTGCTGAAGCGTCCCAATTCAAGAGCATGCGCTCTAGAAACTACTGCTAGTTTTCTTGCGCTTTCGTGTTTCCCAAGTGTGTGTGTCGACTTAACAAAATAATTATCGAAGTGTCTAGCCCTAGGACTCAAGAGATAGTTAGAGTTTTAGGCATGAAGATGAAATTCCAGGACTTTTCCAGGACTTTCAAGGATGGAAATCTTTTCGGATTTTGCTTTTTTGAAAGATTACTATTTAATGAATCAAATATTGTGAAAGATTACTATTTAAATAATCAAGTATTATCGCCACAGCTGGAAACAAGTTCCAGGACGTTTGAGATATCTTTTTCAGGTAGTTCAGACACAAACCTCGACAGCTTATTGTAGAATACTACCTACACTGGACCACCACGTTTGAGATATCTTTTTCAGGTAGTTCAGACACAAACCACGGCAGCTTATTGTAGAATACTGCCTACACTGGACCTCACGGCAACTTATTGTAAAATAAAACCTTCGAACTTCCAAGTTAGAGAATCTTTTTCAGCTAAACGAAATGCAAACACGGCAGCATAAAATAATCTATTACGTTCAGGTTTGACGTGCATAACCATGTGACCGAAATGGGGGAATATAATTGGATCACTTTCTCATGAATTATTAATGCGCAGGAGATGTTAAAATAGTGCACAGCGCGATAGGGAACATACGTCACACCCAACAGTCAGTAAAACAAAAGCTCTTTCTAGAAACGAAGCCGTATATAGCAAACTACGTTTGAAAAGATCTGGAATACAAATGTGTAAAATGGAGGGAGGATCTCATCGAGGAACGAAAAACGGAACACTCGAACAGCAAAATGGATTGAATCTTCAGTTTCCTGGTGGAGAAATTCTTGAAGACCAAAATGAAAGCATACTTGCAGTAGCTCATGAACTCGCACTTGCTGGCGACGAACTAACGCGAAGGTTTTCAAAAAACGACAAAAAAGAAGATACGCTTTGGCAGAACGTGAAACGATACGCATTCATTGTTACGTTTCGTGTCCTGTTTGGGCTTGTATAGCTACGAGAATGCTCCAAAACTTGTATATAGGTTGCAGAATGAATCGCCCACGCGAACGGCGTTCAATCTGGGGTTTGATGGACTTTTTCAGCCACGAAAAACGTACAAAACATAAAACTATCTCCGCTTTTTATTCCGCTAAACTTGCGATAAACTTGGGTATATGTATTGCTGCCGACGACACGAGAAATCAATTTGCAACGAACTTCATATGCAAACCCTTTTGTCGTTTCGAGTGTTTGTCGATTTTGCTCAAAAACAGGATGAGACGGCCTGTTGGGTTTAATAGGAAAGCACAGGGGACGAAAATGTGCTGTATAATAGAAGCTTCAAGCATGGCGAACACTGCAATGCGATACTCTATCGAACGAAGGACGAACATTCACCGACGAGTAAAGACGGACAAACATGCATGTCAGGCCCTGCATACAAATGTACATATATATTTTAACTACGTAATATATAGTCTATAAAGACCTTAGTTTTTGTACATAAACTGACTAAAAGGTTTAAATGTGTCAAAGAGTATTTTAGTGTTGTAAATATGTTCGTTTGAAGTAAAATATACGATTAAACACTTTATAGACAGAGTATATATGTGCATGTGTCCACAACACGTTTGCCATGTCGAAAGTGCACGCACAAATATTCACATTACACAGGCTATGTTCCATATTTTCTGCTCATAAACACGGACTCAAAAGGGCTCAAAAGTATTGAATATTATTTTAGTCTTGTAAATTTCTTTCATTGAAGTATACAATACAAGATTATCCGAGCTTCATAAATGGTCTAGCCCAACGACACAGTGTCGTGTCAGAATTAATGAACTTACGTCGGTTTCAACACTTATTTTTTGTACTTAAACGAAAGCAGAAAAGCTACAATACATTAGATCGTAGTTTAGTTTTGTAAAATCGTCGACTGAACTCAAAATGAGCACTTTATAGACTGTTAAAATCTCTACATGCACGCGTACATGCGACCCCTTTCATGGTCAAACCAAACTCAAAATGGCTGCCCCTTGCATATACAATCTCAGACGCGTTTTTAAACAGCGACATTGTACACCAGTGTGAAAGGGCAGTCGTAGAACCTTTGGGCGAAAGAGTTCTGTAGTTGGCATTGTGCCGAATTGCACCGAAGTTCATTTCACTCGAGATTTTATTTTCAACTGCGTCATAATGCATCTCCCTATACGAAATTACGTAATTGTTTTGCCTGTGCGGTTATGACTCGGGGGAAATATTCTGTTTAGAAGACGAAATTGCTGCAACGTTGTCAATAAATTCAAAAAGATACCCTGTAGACACAGCCCTGTTTCAAACGAGAGGTTTTGCGATGAAGATCATTGCAAGGATGCCATATGCAAGAATCAATATAAAATCTACAAGCAGAATAATCCACTGAGGTTCGATAAAAATCCCTATAAGTACAGGAAGATTTTCAGGTTAGAAATATATTTTCGAAGTTGTATTCTTGGCAGACTACAGCTCAAGATTTTGGAGAGTTATGCATATCAAAAAAATAAATGCCATCATTAATATATATAGAAGCACTTTACAATTTAGCAGACTAAAAATTTGGGGGTTATAGAATTATATATTTACACAAAAACACAAGCTGTCAGCCATTCTGAAACAGACAATGAAGATATATATAATATCTTTGTTAAATGAAAAACATTAAGATATAGCAAGCTCTGACTTTCTGGGCGAACTGTCTGTGTTCCAAAATAATTGTCTTATATGCATGACAACCCTGCTATACTACCCCAAAATTATAATTCCCTCCCATAACACCTCGACATGACTGGAATCATTGGAACTTTTACTTGAGAACAGAGCATGATTATATTTAGAGTTAGGTCGGCAATTCGCCTGTATTTAATTCTTGCTGTTCTCAAAACATGTTGTCAACATTAAAATGAGTGCATTTATTCTTCGGAATATCCCCAAAATTGGGGAACCTTAGAAAACAAGGATTAAATAATTGCACAGCAATATATAGAAGTATATATTCGAAGCACTGAAATGCTTTATATGTATGGACCAACATTCCATGTAACTTCCTGACTAGATGTACTTCAAGTTCTACCAAAAATTTATAGTTTGTGCATGATTACATGTTGTCGGCCAAAATTTTGTAAACACTCTCTCAAGACCCCTGGAGAAATTTATGCTTCACGCTTGTTTAATACTTCACAAGTCTGAGTCCTGGGGGTTAAATGACCTTTAAATGCTTTCAAAAATAAGAATGTAGAAAATGCTTTAAACTATATAACGGTGAGAGAGAATCCATTATATACTTGTTGCTTTCATCCTGAGGGCTATGGGTTTAGACCTTGTATATTAATTTAAATCTCCATGCATTTGCTATAAGTATCTGTTGTCAATTTTCTTATATGGTACAATACAATGGCAGAACTTGTCATATTCATGTGTAAAAGACAAACTCAATTCGTTTAGGACACAAAATGTAGATTAAAGTCTTTGCACATGTATAATTTTTTTCTAATATATATATGCAGGCGTTTAACTTGGGCACAGTGCAAACTTTCTATTGAAAGACCTAATCCAAATGTCATGTTACACTGTTTTGAAGCAGGATGCATTCTCTTCAATTGTAAAAACATAGAAATATAAGCCAAGGCATATATATTATCTGGTAAATTTTATATCTAGTGCAGTGCATGTACTGTAGTTTTAATTCAATATTATTTTCTTGTGAAAATTGATTTGTGTATGTTATATAAAATTTGTACAGTACAGTCATTTCTCAATCAGATTTACTGCAAGTAAATTTAAAAATACTATTGTCCAAGAGAGTTCAGAATAAATAAGGTATTGGTATTACAGTCTCTCTAATTTGTTCATTGCAATGTTGCAAGTGAAATTATACATGAGCTTATAAAACCACACATGCTCTACATAAGCGTTGTATGCAGTTGAATACATAGTGTGTTATGCCAGTGGCAAGCCACATTTATGCACTAGTATATATTCACATGTATGAAGGCTTCTGAGAAACTTGTGAGTAGCAGCATTGTGTTATTCAGTACTATAAATTTATCTAAATATATAGTAGTACATACAGCCAATAGGTGCAAATGTTATATACAACATATATACTACAAGCTATATGTCACAAAATATAACGCTAAAACTTTCCTTGGTTAAAAGTCATGTTATATAATAGTACACATTTCGAACTATATATATACCACACAGAGAAAGATCACCATAGGCAAATGGCTCCTCTATAATCAAACATAACACTCTCAAGAGAACTTGTAATACGATAAAATATAATCAAATATTATTATACTACAAAAAACTACAAAATTCATCTTCGAATGATTCTTACTAGAATCGAGTATGACAGATATAATATATATATATAAAATCTTGAAAGCGAAACCTTTCATATTAAAACCAAAAATAAAAGTGAAATAATGCAATATATTAATATACTTGTATCCCTATACTGAATAATATGTTATCTAACACGTTTCAACTCCTTCAAGAATGAATTGAACAATTTTAACGGGAAGCTTCCAAAATATACAACGGTTAAAATCTATTATGAAAGCCATAAACTATCGGCGTAGTTTCGAGATAGCAACGTTACATAACTCGTACAAAAGCCTATACGGTCCCTTTTACGAAAGAGATTTAAACCGTAGCCTCTAGCCTTGACCTCATTTTGAATTAAAAACAACAAAATTCTGGCAGGTGCTGGGAAGCGACCGAAATATACGTCAGCACTAATTATCATTCAGATTATATATGCAAAAGAACCTAGTGCATTTGCATATTGGCGAAATACAAAAACGATTTTACATCTCACATGGTCATGGAACAATCGGGTCACATCCACACGATTGGTTAACATTGGCTGCGATCAAAGGTCGACAAAGAATAAAGATCAAGTCTTTAAGAGTTTGCCTGACCGCAGAAACAATGCACTTCTGACGAAAGGCAAACAAATTAACAGCTTATGCACGCATCCTTTACCGGGCAAAGGCCAAGGACACCGTGTTAATGTACATCTTGCAGAAAAACTTATATCAATCATAAAATTTATCCCCAATAATTTTCGCGTGAATGCTATAGTTATATAAGCTTATATGTGTGCAAGCCTATAATAATATAGACGCTTGTACACGGTCATGGCTCAGAAAAATATAGGCTATAGCCCCAGGGAATTTTGTTTTAAAATGAATATATTATATATCGATTTGATATGCAAAGCAGCTTGCAATAAGCTATCATGGCTTATAGCCGTAGATATATATAAAAGCGCAAAGCAAGAAACATTCTACACTAAATTGTAAAAATAATGCATGACTTTTGTAATGCAATGTACAACTACATTAATACGAAAACTTAAATCTTTGGGACCGTTAATAGAGCCGTTACTCAGCTTTTCCTAAATATTATACACCGTATTTAAAATGGCGATATTATAAAAGCATTTTTATTACCTTCTTGCGATAAAGATTACAGCTATACCTCATTTGAAAGCGTCTGTTACATATAAGCTTCAAATCAACGATTTAAATAGCTACATGTATTCACTGAAATATATGTACAAGAATAGACAATATAAAAGGACCGTATGTATAACAACAAATGTTTTATAAAAGCAACCAAACCTGTGCTGTAGTTATTCTTTGTGGATTCAGACATGATGTAGCAACAATTAAAGCTTTCTCTACAGGCATAAAAGATCATAACGCCTTCAACAGCTGCTTGCAAAACACTGCTGTATTTAAACAATATACTTCCTTGCCTCTTGGAGATTTGCCATTGCAAACACGGCTTGGCCAGGCCGAACATATTTAAAGTTTAAACGACAAATCGGTTGCCAGGAATCGGTTTTAACCGAACACACAAGTCACACGAGCATGGCCGATCGATCGAGTCCAGCTTCGCACGCGTGATACTCGACGTTTTAGCAAATTCACCAAATAATGTGCAGCCATTATTCGAGAAAATTCTTGATCCGTGCCTTCGATATGACAAAAAATTTCACTTTAAGCCAAACGCCCACGCGCTAAGCCGGCGAAACGAAAGAACGGAAGCTGATTATTATGCAAAAAATATTAGATAGGCCATATTGCAAGGAAAAATATTTTGAATAAAACGTGATCTGACATCCTCGGACATAACAATCAGATCCAACGATGTTAATCCAACAATATGGCAATATATTGATACAAAGTTGGAAATGTGGCATGAATAATTTCAGTGTGATAATTCAAGATTCTTAGTCGTATCTGGCTTGGAACTTCAACATGACTATTGCCGCACAAATTGTCACAGGTCTGCAAACAAGTTGTTACAAATCTGTTCACAAGCTGTCGACAAGTTGTGTTCGTACTGCTTGTTCCCAGTTGTTGTAACAAGTTTGGAACGAGCTGTTGACAACTTGTAAACTAGCTTGATGGCATTATCAGACTTGTTACAAGGTTGTTCTAACAAGTCTGATACAGTCATGATATAACAAGAATGTTACAAGTCCGATAATATGAACAAGGTTGTTACAAGTTGTTAACAAGTTGTTTCAAACTTGTTGACAACTTGGGACAAGCTGCAGTGCGAAGACAACTTGTTAACAGACTTGCTACAAGATGTGAGATTTTTGCGTGGGTACATGATGGCATTATCAGACTTGTTACAAGGTTGTTCTAACAAGTCTGATACAGTCATGACATAATTATAGCAAGAATGTTACAAGGTTGACGACACAAGCTTGTGACAATATTGTTATATCATGACTGTCTCGGAGTTGTTGGAACAACCTTGCTACAAGTCTGATAATATCAACAAGCGTGTTCCAAGCTTGCTTATCGGACTTGTTACAAGGTTGTTCTAACAAGTCTGACACAGTCATGATATAACAATATTGTATACAAGGTTCAAACAAACGCAGCAATTTTGCATTCAATAATGTATAGGAAGAGATTGGAACTATTTTAAAGCCCTCAATGTAATCCACAAACAAATAATAACTTAATTAAAATACAATGTAATTACTATGGGACATTTATACACTACGCCTAAGTAGTGTTTGGATTGAATACAACTAAAAATCTGGGGCGTATATAAATACCAACAAATAGAGATGCTTTTTTCCAGTGGCGTAGCGAGGGTTTAGACTTGGGGGGGGGGGGGGGGGGG